TATGTATGTATATACATATTAAACTCTAAAATACTTGGTTTTTATTTACTGACTTTCTCTTGTGTTTCCTGGCTCCAACATGGCAAATTATACCATCCTCTTAAGTAGAAGTTAAAGTCAGCTAAATTAGATGTTATAAAATCTATGATGAAAATCATTTTCTTTCTATACAAGTGCTCTTTATCATTTAATACAAAAGCTGCTTCTTATATTCCTGTAGGAAGAGGAACAATCTTTCCTATCCCTTCTGATTTTCTCCTAGTTCACAAGAGTCATTGTTTATACCCACATTGTCCAAAGTCTTACAGTATCCCAGCCTTCTTCTACCCATTGTTTCTTCTTTAAACCAACACAAGCAAACAAAGGGAATACTCTGTATCCTTATGAGACAGAATGTAATTAGACTAGGCTAATTGTTTCCAATATTATTTCCTGTCATTATTTCATTCAGACACCATCAAAGGCAACCTCAGCAATTGGTTTGCATTCCCATTGGAACCTCTAAAGCTGCAAATATAACTGTTTTCGTACAGTGTGCACCCACAATTTTTGGCCTTTTTATGAATTCATTTCCCATATACAATACCTTAAAGTTAAAAAAATACTAAATCTAATGCCATCCTATACCTTATAGCTTTTGAAGTGAAAAATGTAAACATTTTTTATGTGGACATAATTTCATTTAAAAAAATCTAGAAAGAAAAATGTTTCATTTTATTAGGAAAGTCAATAGAGAGTGAGATTATTTTACCAACATTAGAATGGGAACAAGGACATTTGAGGAAAGAAAACAGTATGTGTATGTTCTATGCCATATGTTCATCATGCCAGTTAACCAAAAATTAACTCCACCAGTGAAGGTATTGGGCAATTCCACATAGGTGTTGTATCACATTTACATGAGTTTGTCCGGTAATGTCCTTGTCTTTAAGATAAGGGGGGAAAAAACTTTGATAGAAAGTGTGACTATAAACTGAGTTGTATTTATATTTATTGATATGATAGTTTGAGTTCTACCCTCCCCCAATGTAATGATTTTAGAGTAAGAACTGTGAATTTATACATTTCCATATTTGGAATCATAGAGTATAATGCTGGCTTTCAGAAATGATCTCAGAATGCTTATTTTACAGATAAGGAAAATGAAATTCTAATAGACTATTTTGCTCCCTTGGGGCCACATAATTACTGAGTGTCAAATGGGCATCACGACCCTGGCTGTCTGACTCCCAGTTCTATTTCTTTTCTTAAACCTCCCATGTCACAGGCTTTGACAATCTAGTTGCTTCAGTAATGGCATGCAAAGAGGAGTTTGTGAAGATATTTCATCTAATTTGGGAAAACTCAAAAGATTTTAGCTTACTTAATCATTGTTGGAAATCAAACCCAAAGGTAATGTAGAGGAAGGACTTAGTAAATTCCTCTAATCTGACTGACTTGAGTAAGTTTCTCACAAGCTCTATGCTTTTAGGTATGTATTTATTTGTATAATTGGATGCGAAAAATCATTGTGATGGATTAAAGCAATATTAAGTAT